AACAAAAATCTATGACTGACAACCACCCATTGGATCACAGCTTCTTTGCCACATGCAACACCCTTGGCTGCACCTCTCTGAGCAATTAGATCACAACCACTAGTCATGTCCTTTGTTTATAAGTAAGAAAAATTTAGGGTTTGGTCTCACAAAATCACAATGACAGATATTGAACTGTACAGGGCTTAAGGAACAAGTAGAAGCAATCAATCACAAGTTTCATTCGGCTCTGATACCATATTACTAAATAGAAAATAATTAGAGATATAAAAAAGACGGAGGCACAAAGATTTATGTGGTTCAGCACAATCAGCCTACATTCATGAGAGATAATGATTACAACACTATAATTCTAAGCCCAATCAACACATATGACACAAGTGTATTTAAAGACACCTAAAGATAGGAAAAACATAGATTTTGCTACCTCTATTTATAGTTATCCTAACCTCTCACTCATAGAGATAATATTTAAATATATTTATCTCAATCTTAATTGTAACATTTGGCATCCTTTACAATGTTATTCACCGAAAGTCCAGCCAATAGCTTATAGTGTCTACCCCAAATTTATTATGTGTCTACAACACCCGGTATATAACAAATAGCAAACAAAATAATGGCTAGAAACCACAACTTTAAATGGTAATCACTTGCAAATTTAGAATTGCTCCCTCACCAGGCTGAGAGCTGTTGTGCCTAGCAGCAGCAGATACAACGTACCCTGCAACAGTTTTGAAACTTCAATTTACATTGTCTAATTCATGTGATATGATAAGAAAAGGCATGACAAATAACAATTCTAGACTATAAATGAGAAAAGGCTTAGTGAGTTTTTGTAGATTATAAGTGAGAAGGTTCATGAAGGAATTAAGTAATGTTATATCTTTATAAGAATCATAGTCTATTGTAACACCCTGACTTATTGGCTGGATCTTAATTGAACAAGATTGGAGTCTTAAGGTTTCTTAGAGGGGTTTAGGTGAGGAAATTAGAAGTTATAGGGGCTTAACTGAAACAAATTAAGAAATAGAGACTAAGTTGGGATGAGGGAGGACTTTGGGGACCAAACTGAACCCCCCCCCCCCCCAAAAAAAAAAATATCACAGAGCTAGCCCTGCTCTAGAACCCTCTCCTTCTCCCAAAAATAAAATAAAATAAAATAAAAAAATCCAGCCAGCCGATCTCTCTTTCCCTCTCCTTTCCTCCCTCTCTCTTGTTCTCTCACCAGAGAGTTTGCTGACCACCGGGCCCGCACATCGATTCCCCTCTCCCTCTCTTTTCCTTCACAAATCTTTCTTCTCGAGTGAAGCTTTTCCCTATTCAGCGTCAGCCAACAGATCGTGGATTAGCTGCCAGTCATCTCACACTGACGTTGCCTGTGCTAGCATAGTCTGTCCTTGGTGAGTCTTCCCCCTCTTTTCTTCGTTGTCTCCCTTTTTCCCTTGCTGATTTTGCCTTACAGTGTAGTCCTCCACTGCCTTGTCCATCGCCGACCAGCAGGGGTAGAGCAATTGCAGCCGCAATCAGCCCCCTTGTCAGCATTGATTCTTCTTCAAGCGCAGGCCACCTCAGGTTGTGTGGAATCATACTGTGTTTGGCTGCTATCAAGCCTGCTAGAAACTGTCGGTCCTTTACCCCTTTTGAGTACATACGCGATTCCAACTTTCTAACAGAGTTGTTGGGTAAGACCTTACTTCTTGTCTCTCCTACTTCTTGTGGATAATGATTCCAAACTTCGGCTAGCTATGCAAGTAGGGTTAAGATTTAGATTCCTTGATTGTGCATGATTCATCTATGTATGCTGTTAGTGAGTGTTACATTTCATAGTTTCTGTCTAGCTTGCATTCAAGCTGCCTCGTTTTCTCACCATTTGAACACCACTGTTTTCTAGGGTTTGCATTCCTCTATTGCACATGTTGAGCGGGTTGAGCTAGTTAGCTTATCTTGAAATTGGGAGAGACAAATTTGTAGTTCAATTACATCTGTATCATCAAATTTGTACTAGGTTTAAGGGGTTAGAATTATCGTTGCAGACTGTTGGTTATATTACAGCTTATGAGTTTGATGTACAGTTGATTTGGGGTTCTTAATTATTTGTAAATTGGCTGTCCTTGGGTTATGGTGAGCATCTGCCTCCCTCTCTGTTCCTTTCTCTTGAACTGCAAGACCCCTGACGAATGGGTTCACTCTGCAGCAAGCCGGCAGCGGCCTCTTGCTGAGTCTTGGTTGTTGTCTCAGCCACTAGCAAGGAGATCAGTCTCCCCTCCAGTCTCTTAGTTGGGTTTGTGGGTTTCCAGCCCTTAAACAACCCTTTGGTAAGGAGCCTTGTTCTTCCCTCAGTTTTTGGTGGGTAGAAATAGTTTCTGCTAAGGGTTTAATGGTATAATCTCTATCTAGGAACCCTGATTTAGCCCTAAGATCACCTTGACAACTAATAAAATATAACCATTTGTTTAATCTGAGTATAACTTTCAGTACCCATACAATTAGCCACTTCTCTCACATGAATTTCTCCTTCATGCCATAATACCGAGTCTCCGTTAGCATGGTTCTATAGCCGAATATGGAATTATGATGAGAACTTTGATTATGTTTTGTATGCATAGGTACTTGGGAGGAATCGCCTCTGGGTGTTGAGGGGCACACATGACATAGGCTCTGATTATCTTCTGATTTCTGTCTGTACATTAAGTAATAATATTTATTATGAATATGTGTTTTCATTAAGGCTTATAAATGAATTGTGTATATACTTATTTCCAAAAGTGTTAATGCCTTCTGATTTTACATGTTTCAATGTAATTATTTGATATGACTATATTGGCATGAGTCATCGTTAATTGTTTTAAAATATGGGACAAGTATCTTGAAAATATGCATCCTTGAACTTTCAACATGTTTTGAGTTTTTGCATATTAAATGAAAATGAGAATGCAAAGGTTTCGTGAAATGCTTGTGTTGCCAAATTATGAAAATGAGAACTTAACTATGCTTTGAACTTGATATTAACTTTGAAAAGAATAGTGTTGTGGGAGATTGTGATATAACCTCAACTAATAGAGGTGTTACTAGCCTTAGTCCTCCTTGATCGGAATCTCAGCTAGCAGGGGTGTTGCTAGTCCATCAGGTTTGGCCGACACATAGAGATTGGATATGATTATGAATGATGTAAATGTGAACATTGTGAAAATGATGTGATTGGAGGCTTTAAAGCCCAATTATGTGATATGAATGTGATATGAAAATGAACTCCCACACTATTCTAAAATTTGTGACTTGTGAGACAATGGTTTACTATTTGAAGTAATGAATTTGGTTCTCTAAGTGTTCTATCCTATTGATTCAAATTTTTTTATGAATTGGATTTTCAAAAAGTGCTTGTTATGATACTTGTTCTAGCATATTTTGAATATGTATTATTACTCACTAAATTTCGCAACTGACCCCTTTTTCTCTCCTTCCAGATCCAGTTTTGTCTGCTTGATAGAGAAGTCTTGTAATTGGTGAATCCCACACTTGAACAAGTGCTTGGGCATTTTATCTTTAATGTCTTTATATTACTTCCCTTTTGATAATTTAGACTTAGTAAAATCCTTAGAATTGCTCCATCTGTGCAGAGGCAATATCTCGTTTCCATGCATTCTTAAATAGTATATTTGTTGCATTGTTAATGTTTCTATTCTAGTTAGTTGCAAGTTTACATAAGCAAAATATGTTGATGATTTGTATATTTAAATAAACGCATGTGTTGTATCCATGTTGAAGCATATTTAGTAGTCGTGAATGTGACTATCCAGCTTATGAACTGCTTAGGGTTCACTGTTAGATATGTTACAGTGCTTGTTTAACAAGTTGTATAAATTTAGAAATGTCCAATTTTTAGGAGAGATTCTGTCGAAATTTTTGGAGAGTCCCAAACTTAGATTGTGTCGTAGTGACTCCTCAGGGTTGAGTAGGGTGGACATGTCCACCTTGGTGCTGGTCACATACCATCTTGGTTTGGGACGTGACATCAATGAAGCAAATGACTAAACCATCTTGAAAAAATTAAGAATACCAAGTAGCAAATGACTAAACCATGTTGAAATAATTAAGAATTCCCAGTAGCACAAGAATAAGAATTACCTCGACTAGATGAAGATTAGATGCACGGCTTAGAAGAACAAAAGCAAATTCTCCAATTTGTGCCAAAGACATGCCAACCTACAAATATTGATTAGGAACCCTATATCAACAGAAATATCAAGGAAAATGCTGCAGCAATTATTTAACACACCAATAATTGGCAGATGCCAAACCCATGAGTTGAGAATCGAAGAAGGCTCTGTAAAGTAGTTGGTAAGTCCTTACAAGCAGTGAAGTCTTGTTGCTATATCCAAATCCTTTGACTACAGCAGCAACCAAAATAGTTTTTACAACAATCACCAATATAACAGCTGCTATTAAAATGTCGATGTGATTCCAAAGGAAATGAACGTGGATAAGCATCCCAATGCTGGCAAGGAAAAGAGCAGCAAAGAAATTGCGAATAGGCTCAACCTAAAAACAAAATACTCCCCGAATTATAATCAGAACAAGTCCTAATGGTGCTTCAATAAGATCAGGTCAAACCAAACAAAGTACATTAACAATAAATCCATGTGAAATTGACCCAACATCAGGAATTTCTTTAAAGAACCAATCCAACAATACACAGCAGGCATTGATTCATGGCAAACCAAAATTTTTTCCTATGACTTCAGTTCTGGGTGAATAACTGCAGTGATGTAATTAATAGGATTGAGAGAAGAAAATGAATAGAAAACTGAATTCTTTATTGAATTACAGGAATTTTGAGAGTCGTGTACCTCTCCCACAACACAATCTTTACTCACTTCCCTTCTACCCTTTGTTTCTCCCCCTCTCCTCTATTTAACTACTACTTACAACCAAATCAGTTCTCCTCAACTTAACTAACAGAATGAGTTACAACATAATCTTTAACAACATTCTTATTTCTTCTACAATATATTTTCCTAATCTGTGGTCTATCAATACTCCCTCCCAAAAATTTCACCTTGTCCTTAAGGTGAAAATTAGGAAAATGTTCCTGTAAAATCGTTACAGATTCTCATGAATTCTCACAAGCAGGAAGATCTTGCCATTGAATGAAAACTTCTTGAAGACCAGAAAAATTAGTTTTGATATCTAAAACTTGAGATGGAGAAACTTGTAACTCCAACTTTTCAGATAACATAGGTGGTAATGACTGTGAAATTACTGTAGAATCAGCTGCTTTCCTCAAAAGGAAACATGAAAAACAAGAAGAATCTCACTGCCATCAGGTAATTTGAGCTTATAAGCAACCTATCCAATCCTTTGACTAATTCGAAAAAGGCAATAAAAGCTGGGACTTAACTTCCTCCTTTTAGCCAAAGATTTGAGTCTATATGGTTGTAACTTGAGGAAAACCTAATCTTCAATCTAAAAATTCAATGTCTCTTCTATGTATATCATCTTGAAATTTCATTCTATGTTGAGCTTTCACCAAATTAGCCTTTAACAATGCTAACATCTCATGCCTTTCAGCCATCATTCTGTTAACTTCATCCACTGCTAAAGGTATAGTAGCACCTTTAAATAAAATTGAAGGATCTTGACCATATAACGATTTAAAAGAAGTGAATTGTGTAGAACTATGAGAGGTGGTATTATACCAAAACTCGGCCCAAGAAAACCATTTCAGCCATTGCTTAGGTTTGTTAGTGGTGAAGCACTTCAAGTAGTTTCTAAGTATCTATTCACTACCTCAGTTTGGCCATCAGATTGAGGATGATAAGCTGAACTAAACTTGAGTTTAGCACCAGCCAACTGAAACACTTCAGTTCAAAAATGGCAAAGAAAGACTTTGTCTTTATTAGAAACCATGGAAGTTGGGAACCCATGCAAGCGAACTACTTCTCTTAAAAAAATTTCAGCAACATCCTTTGCTGTAAATAGGTGACTGAGAGCTATAAAATGAGCATACTTGGTAGGTCTGTCAACTACAACCATGATCGTATTCTTGCCATTAGCTTTAGATAATCCTTCAATCAAATCCATAAAATATCATACCATATATGAATTGAAATTGGCAAAGTTTGCCAAAGAACAGCATGGGATAAAGTCTGAGTTTTGTTCTCTTGACAAACATCACAAGTTGTAACAACTTGTTGTATATCCTTTTTCATTCCCATCCAATAAAACAACCCTAATATTCTTTTATAAGTTCTGAAAAATCCAAAGTATCCCCCCAAGGCTGAACTATGAAATTCAGATAGAATTAATGGAATCTTAGAAAAATTCTCGGGTAATACCATCCTGCCCGTGTATAACGGCTTGTTGCCTTGTAACTAATACATAGCATGAGCAGTAGAATTCAACACCAGATCCTATATTATCCTCCTAATTTTCTCATCATGTTGTATTTCATCAAGCGACTCATTAAAATCAGTAAAATGGACCTTAGAAATTGCAGCAAAGGACATTTTTCGAGAAAGTGCATCTGCAGCAAGATTATGACAAGGTTTATATCTAACTTTAAAGTCAAACCCCAATAGCTTAGACACCCATCTGAACTGCTTTTCACTTATCAACCTTTGTTCAGTCAAAAATTTCAAACTTCTTTGATCAATATTAATATTAAAATGTCTCTCCATCAAGTAATGTATCCATTTTTGTACAGCCATGACTATAGCCATTAATTCCTTTCATATACAGATTTAACTTGTGCCCTTTTTGATAACGCTTGACTAAAGAAAGCTATTGGTCGCCCTTATTGTAACAAAACAGCCCTATACCTTTGCTAGAAACATCTATTTCAACTATAAAAGTTTTTGAAAAATCAAGAACTAATAAAACTGAAAGTGTGGTCATAGCAATTCTCAATGCATCAAAAGCTTCTTTAGCCTCCTTGCTCCATTGAAAACTTTCCTTGTTTGACAATGCATCACTGATTTAGCAAATTTACCATAATTCTTTACAAATCTTCTATAATACCCCATAAGTCCTAAGAAAACTCTCAATCATTTCACATCCTTCGTTATTGGCCATAACCAAATAGCTTCAACCTTGTTTTGGATCCACAGCTACCCCATCAACAAATGCAAATATGTCCCAAATACTTCAGTTGCCGCAGTCCAAAACTATATTTTTTCTTATAAACATATAACCGATGTTCTCTTAACAATTGTAACACCATGCTTAAATGCCTCAAATGATTTTCCTCATTCTCACTATAAACTAGTATACCATCCAAGAAAACCAAAACAAATCTTCTCAAAAATGACCTCGACACATCATTCATTAAATATTGAAAAGTTGATGGAGCATTAGTTAAATCAAAAGGCATTACCAATAATTCACAATGACCCCCGTGAGTTTGAAAAGTAGCTTTTGGTATGTTCTCTTCCTTCATTCTAATATGATGATATCTAGATTTCAAATCCAATTTAGAAAAAATTGCGGCTTTACCCAATTCATCCAATAGCTCATCAATGATAGGAGTTGGAAACTTATTTGGTATAGTAATTTTATTCAAAGCTCTATAATCCACACAAAATCTCCATCCTCCATCCTTTTTTAGTAAAATAATTGGGCTTGAATGAGGACTCTCACTAGGTCTTATGATACCCAAAGATAACATTTCAGTAACTAATTTCTCAATTTCAATTTTCTAATAATGAAGATACTTGTACGGCCTCAAATTCGGAATTGTAGCTCCATCTTTAAGGATAATGGTATGATCTTATCTTCTTGATGGCGGTAGTCCTCGAGGTTCCCGAAAAAAACATCGTAAAATCCTTCAAAACATCCTCAACGGCTGCTGAAACATCATTATCTTGAGTATGAAACTTTATACTCAATGATATAATCTTAACCTTCATCATGTAGAGCTTTTACTATTGATTTTAAAGAAGCAACAGATCTAGTAAATGTAGGATCACCCCTCAAAACCATCATTTCACCCTCCACCTCCAACTTTATAGTTAATTCTTTGAAATTGGCCCTTATTTCCCCTAAGCTTGCCAACCAATCCATTCCCAAGACAATGCCAGCTCCCACCAAACTAAAACGAAAAAAATCTTGCCATATCTCCATCCATTATAATTGTAAAACTACTCTTTGACAAACTCCCATACATTTGATCTTATGTTCCATCACCTACCTCAACATAATAAGTAGGTGTTTGGATTGTGGGAATCTTCAACTGCTATACCAACTTAGAATTAATAAAAATGTGTGATGCTCCACAATCGATCAACACTACTACTTTTTGATTTCTCACCTTACCCCACAACTTAAGAGAACTCTTTGCTGTCATCCTTATAATACTATTTAGAGATAGTTGTGAAGCTTTATTTTCAGCTTCTTCTTGATTAAAACCAGCATCATCATTTGCATTGAACACTTCATTAACATCACTTGCAATTGCTTGTTTTTACAAACATGCTTAGAACTATACTCCTGATCATCTGAAACATAATCTTTTCTAAATTTTCTCTTGCAATTCTGCTTCTGATAACCCTTTTGAATCCTCCTCTATTGCTAAAAGTGCCATTAGACCTTGAACTCACTCCTTGCTGCAAGCCTGTTGTGATGCTTCTAGGTTCAACTTCAAGCGTAACTATCCTAAAAGAAGGAAAACTTCTGAAATTGGCTCCTATTTTACGTCCTGTTGTTTTGCCATCCTTACTAAGAGCTAGATTCTTCTGATCAATCAGTTGAGCATAATCCATCATCTACGAGAGTCTATAGGGTGCAATTTGAGTTCAGCTCTAATCCCATCCTTCAAACTATTCAAGAAAATACCTTGGAGATGTTTTTGATCAGTACATCATAAAGGACCTGCATAAAGTTCAATTTTTTCTCTAAAATCTACCACCAGGGGTTTGCTTTAAACTCAATAGTAATACATATGGATTCTGCATCATTTCTTGTTGAAATCTTCTAATTAATGCTGTTTTGAAACTTTTCTAAGAAGGATTTGAAGAACGAGATTCCCACAATTGAAACCAGCTTAATGCCCTACCTTCTATAGTAATCAATACTGCTTGCAGTCTCTTCTTCCAATAGTCCATTAATTTGAAAATAACATTCAACCTGATTTGCCCAACTATAAGCACCATCTCCTAACAATACTGGAATCTCAAGCTTCATCCATCATTGTCCAACACTTATAGCTCTTGTTCCACTATTAGACCCATTCTCCATTTCCTCATTTCTAGTGCTACCAGAATTTTCTTTGCCTGAAATTTCTATCAAAGAATTCCTAGCAAGACTCTCAAGAAGTTTTTCAATCTTCTTCAATTGAGCTTTTTGAAGTTCTCTTCTAGTTTCTTGGATTTCTCTATCTTCTTCCAATTTTTTCCTCCAATCTTCTGTCCCTTTTTTCTAATGTATCCAATCAGGCTTCCATTCTTGTATAAACCATAAAGAAGAAATTTTCTCCTTCAATATTACCATTATCCTCTATTCCTCCCGAAACTCCCTTCTGAATCCTTTCCTTGCTTCAGGATTAATTCTCTACTTCATTTGGATCAGAAAAGCCCTTGCAATACTTCCATTGGCTTTCAATCTCTTGTAACTCCTTTGTAACCCTTTTTTTCACACTCACAATGATTGAATCTGCACTCACAAGCCACTCGCAACTTCACAATGGTCAAATTTCCACTCATAAATAGTCACAACTTTGTAACATCAGTCACAACTTTGAATACCCTTAGCCGCAGATTTCTCCTAGTCAAAAACCCATATTTTGCTAGTCAACAAAATCTTTTGCTTCTTGCGACTCACCCAGAACTTCTTATTTCTTCTTCATGATGACCAAATATGTCCTAGCGATTCTCAGAATTCCTTCGGAATGCCGTAATGACCGTCACACTCCAAAACTTTCGATCTTTTTCAACCTCGCTTGCCTTTGTACTAAACCCTATTCTTCATACCACACTTCACTTATGATCTCATATGATTTTAATGATACTACCAATCTCTTCAATGTTCATAGTAATCAACTCAACAGAATTTAGTCATACCCATTCCCCTAAATGATCAAGGCTCTGATACCAATTAATAGGATTGAGAGAAGAAATTGAATAGAAAACTGAATTCTTTATTGAATACCAGGAATTTTAAGAGTCCTGTATCCCTCTCACAACACAATCTTTACTCAATTCCCTTCTACCCTTTGTTTCTCCTACTTAATAACTAGTTAGTTACAACCAAATCAGTTCTGCTCAACTGAACTAACAGAAATAGTTATAACAAAATCTTTAACAACATACTTATTTCTTCTAGAATATACTTTCCTAATCAGTGGTCTATCAGTAATCAATTATAGTTGTATTCCCATTGATAATTCCCAAAAGCTTTTATGTTTTCCATTTAGATATAAGCAGGGTAAGGCTGCAAATATTGACCACCCTCCCTTTCCCTACCCTCACAATTCGGGAAACCCCCAATAATGCCCTTTTGTTTAGCACTAAAAACTTCTAACTGTAGGTTCTCTGCTTGTGAAAATTTAGAGAGACTTTACTAATAGACATTTGAATATTTCACTACATTTTATGGACCATGATGGAGCTTACCCCAATTCTCTATTGCTAGATTGCAATTTGGTTTAGTTTGGGTTATTATAGGTCTTATTGTCAAGATTTAGGCAAAGTTGATTTTCTCAAGTATGGTATATCACATATGGAAAGTGTTAATATATAATTAAGTTACTCCTCTCTCTACAACCTTAAACTTATCTCTTTGAGCTAATTGCTCTACTACAGTACCAATAATAGGCAAAAGAGAGTTCAACTCGTGTTTGATATATTCAAGTTTTCCAACAAATGCACTAATATCATCGCCTTGTTTCAAGTCAACCATATCCGAAACCACATTATAAAAACGCTAAACATCATTAGTATAAAGTGATTTAGCTATCGTCCAAACCTCATAACAAGTCTCATAAGCCTGATAGATACTAAGAATTTTAGGGTCATTTGTACTCCATAGCAGATTGCATAGAAGAACATCGAGCTTGTTGAAAGCAGATTTGTTTGTAAAAGGTACATCCTCTGCTTTAGTAGTTAAGTAATCTTTATAACCTTGACCACAAAACCACATTTTAATAGATTTGGATCACAATTTACACTCTCCGAAAGCTTATCTAATATAATCACCGGTGAAGGAGTGATCAAAGGTAAGAATGTAATAGCTCGAGATGCTGATATAACCTTAGATATTGAAGAAACTTGAAGTTAAACTGGTGGAAATTGTGATCTCAGACAACAGACATCAAACAAAAAGGAGCATCCAGTAGACAAACAAGAAACAGAAGGCCAAATACTTTAGCCACAGAAGACTAGTCGGAGATGGAGACCAGTCATAGATGGAAAACCAAGCAAGAGGGTCGGCTAGGGTCGGCAAGATGAAAGAAATCTTCCAGCAAGTCATGCGATGTTAGCGACACGCTCTAACGAGGCTTCAAAAGTCAACGATCTACTTTAGTGAGCCTTGTAACTCCAGCGATAGACTTGGGCGAGGTCAACAAGAGGTTCGAATAAGATCTGCGAAGTCGGTCTGAACTTCTGGAGAAGGAAGGAGAAACTTGCAAGATCCAAAAGAATGGCACGCAGGACACCACAGCAAGCTTCAGCAATGATGACGGCGAGCTTCGTCGAAGGCAAGATAGGCTCTCCGATAAGATCGATGACCAAAGAAGAACGCCAGTGGGAGAAAGCCGCCAACGACTCCTAGGGTTAGGGTTTAATTTCTATTTTTTTTTTTACTTTTTTCTCCCCTTGCTTTGATACCAGTAGAGAGAGGAGTAACTTAATTATGTATTACTTAACACGCCCCTTCACGTATGGCTAGACTATATAATCACAACATGCCCAACACGTGAAAACTTACGGGCGGTGAGACTTCAACCCAGGACTTTTGCTTGCTCTAATACCATGTTAAATTGTTAATTACCATCTCACCTACAAGCTTAATCTTTTAAATGAGATGGTAATTAACAATTTAACAAAAAGAGCAAAATGCTGCCCTGCACAGCAAAATCAAGGACAAGCAGCAAAAACTTTTTACTGATATCTCTACATGGATTCAGTTGGATTTGTCAGAAAAAAAGGGCTACTGATGTCTGAACACAGTTCCAATTAGCTGCAGATTCTAACAGATGATAACTTTAGGGGTTCTTTGCAGGAGTTTAGTAGATGCTCTAAGTGTGGTTTTTACTGTTCCTCCTATGATCATTTTGTTTTCTTCCTGTTTATGTTTCCTGGATTTTAGATTGTAACTGTCTAGCTAAACCATATCTTCATTCACATACTTCCATGAGCTCCTAGGGTTATGCCCCTCCTACATTACACATATTAACCTCATAGATACCATTCATTTTCTTAAACACAAAAAAGGTTTACCCAGAAAACACAGATTAATTAGCACAAACAAGATAATCAAACATATATATAGCTTCCAGTGTACTCAAAACTATATCTTACTTGTTCTAGTGTACGTTGAGCAAGCTCAGTTGATGATATCATCACTCCAGCGGCAAAGGACCCTAGTTCTTGGCTTAGACCCAGCTTATCACTACACTAAAAGGAGTCAAAGCTCACAGTAAACCTCATCTCACTGAGATAAATAAATATATAATAGAAATGTGCATGCAAGCCATGTCCCCTAGATGGAGATCAACTGGCTATTTGAGCATATATATTATAATAATGTCAACATACGATGGAATGAGCAGAAACAATTTTTCCAAGTGAAGGTATTGCAATCCAAACTAAATGCATAAAGCATATGCAGGAAATCGTGCTACAAGGAGAATCAAGAAATAAAGACTTTACCCACGCAACTAGTAAGCAAAAAGCCACTGCTGCCAATTGATAAAGTTCATTGGTCTGCAAACAAAAAATTTTGATCACACCATAGAAACACAGGAATGAATCGGTTAGAAGATTGATCATCTGAATGCAGGAAACATACCCGTGAAGATAGCCTAATCATCAGTTGCAGAAACCAAGGTACACAAGTACGAGATGCTATTGACAAAATGGCCAAAAATGCAATCAAAACCACCATCCTGGACAAGCAAATTTTGAATTGAATTGGAGCAAAGGATAGGCAGGAGGCAAGAATTACACCATAATGCAATGACTGTAAACCATGCAATTGACTGGAATTGTGTGCACCCAGAATGTCAGTCAGATGTGCTAGATCTGTAATGCTACAAAAGAATCCTATGGCCTCTGCATTTATGTCACTTGTGTACTGCTACACATTTACTGTTTATGTACACAATTTATTTTTTGTTACAAGCTCATCAAAAATAGTGCACAAATTCTTCCAAATAAATTTTGTTTAATTTTGTCCAGTGCTTCCAGACATAGCACTGAACGAGACAAAGAGAACTTTCACAAATTTCACTTCCAATGCTTGAAACTTCATTTACAAAATATAAAAGAACCTAAAAGCTGTTCCACTTGTAATTAAGAGGACATCAACTATCAGTAAGTATGAATGCTTGAAGACTTCATTTAAAATAGAATGTCATTACATAAATTAGTGCTGCATTGTTTCTAAAATGCAGCTAAGATACCAAATGTTTTCATCACTATGAAACATACATGGCCATCCTTTCCATGTCAAACAGGACAGAGGTGTGAAAGTAGCATTTCTCAATAAAATAAGACAGAACATGGTGGGGATATAACATGTATTAGACATAAAATCAGGAAAATGAGAACACAATGGAAAAGGTATAAGATAACTTGTATAAGTTTAAGATTAAAATGTTCAATCAGTTGAAAACATCCAAGCCACTCTCTCAACTCATTTGTAAAAATATGGGCAAATTACATCCCTTAAACATATAAAAGAATATAGTAACTTGGGTTTGCAAATTGGAACATAGTAAGGCTCCATTAGCATTGGCTTATAAAATCATTTTCAGTAAAACGCCTTTTGGACTTAACCAAAATGTAATGGAACAAATTTTAAAAGTTGGCCATTGGATTTGTTTTTCACCAAATAGCAAGAAGAAAAGGCTAGCTTATAAGTCATTCACAAATAGCACTAGAAAGCATAAAAACTTACACTAAAGACACGGGTGTCTTCAGCATGTCCTCAGTGAGTGCAAGAAGAAAGGGAATAAATACAAAAGGGGCACAACAGGAAGTATGTCTAACAAACAATTGGGCCTTGTAAAAGTTTTTGTGCTTCACAATACACACACAGTAAGGTACCTATCAAAAATTGTATAATAATTATTCCAATATTATCAATCAAAGGATGAGTAATATGATGAAAGAAAGTAACACATGATTATGGAATTGAACCATCAAAACAACTTTAAAAAAATAAAAATAAATTAAAATGAAGAAAATTTTTTAAAAAAATATTCAAAAACTGTGTTTTAGGTTCAATAATATCATTTTACAGTTTCAGTTATCAAATTTTCCAAAGTAGAACAAAAAGTTATTTCCAAATCTTAGGTGCATTTAACATCAGCACAAGGCTTATAAAATGTATAGTAAGATAAGTCTACTTAGGTTTACTATAACCACTTCCACAGCAAAACTGATTGGGTAAAAAGCACCATGCTACATTTTGAAAAACACTTTTATAATACAAATCTAATCTAATGACAAATATTTCCTAAAGTAAGAAGTGGCATGGACTTTAGAGTTCTATAAAACAACTAATAAATCAAATCTCCAATTGTGAAGCATCTACAGGAATTTGGTATTGAATAATATCTCTCACTTGTGCATTCTAAAATTGTTTAAAGAAAAAAGGGGCCATCGTATGTTGTGAAAAAGAAGTAACCCTAACAAATTTCAAGATAGTAAATTAAAATTCTTATACACAATCAGAAAAGGAAGATCTAATTAATAATTAACAGGAAAAGGAGAGAGAAATGTAATCTGAGAACTTTGCATGTCAACATAAAATTTGATGTTGCAGTTCTTCACTTACAATTTCGTCATAGATATAACTCCTTGAAGAATTCCAGCAGTACCACCCAAAACTGGGAGCAGCGCAAACAGCAAACCAACAGCACAGTCCTATCAAGCAAAAGTACCTCTAGAATTAGGAGCAAAGACTTTACATGTGGGACAATAGAAAGATGCTAAGCAAGTGAAGTCTGTAATCTATGACATACACATGCATCTAAAAGGTCTTGGTCTCCATGCCGGACATGCATCAAGCTCTGTCCTATTTCTTATTTAATTTTTTTGTTCCATTGGACACATTGAAGACTTACAAGACAGGTATCAAAAAATTGGACAACTTGAACAAGTCAGGGATCAAGCATAACTTTTTAAGGAAAGGCCAATTTGCAACAATATCAAATTGCTTACTATCTTATATGTTTTGAAGAGGCATGACTTGCCTAGTTTTAAAAATTGAGATATTCAATTAGATGCCTTGAATTGGTCAACCACTTTTTGTTTCCTCTTATGGGCATTTATGTGTGTTGTCTCTCACTCTTGCATTATGTCTAGAAATATAATCAAAATAATATTTATTTTGTTGTGTCGCCACCATGTCATATCATACATTCTTTTCAAATTGCCATATCCTCAAGTCCTTGACATGTCTGACATGACACATGGCTGTGTTTGTGCTTCTTTATCCATAGTTTATCATAATGGAAAATTAACAAAACAAAACAACCTGCAAGATAAGGGTGCCAATTGTGATCTGCCCATGTAGGGCAGTAATGCTACTTTCCATCAAAAATTTTAAAACCTGCAAGCAAACCAATGTGAATATGTTTCAGCATACTACCAGCAAGAAAAAATCTTCAACAAACCCATAACCAAGAAAAGCTAAAGCAACATACTGACAGCCACAAAACAAAATGAACCAGAAAAAATAGGAAGTACCAGAATTTATTAATCATAAAGGGCTTTTCTGCTATTAATTTCACTAAACAATAAATTTTATAACTCAAAAAGTTGCTATAATACCTCAGGTATCCATATCAAGACATTTTTTATTACCTTAAATAATTTCAAATTTTCAACTTCTGTATACATAATAATATATCTGAATTTTGACAATCAGACAGCTTTAGCATAGTCACAATAGGATGTAAGGTGGGAACAAATGTAGGATGGACAATCCTAAGATGCAGAGTTAGAACTTCATGTTTAGTTCAGTTGTAATACATCTGAATAAAAGAAATCACGTGACCATAGATATAAGTTCCAATAAACCAAAATGAATATTCCTCGAAGAATAGCAAAGCAGCTACTAACCTATGTGTTCAGGCTAAAAATGTTTACTGGCAAATAAATAAATAATTAAAGAATAACTGGACAAACTTACAAGAGCTGTGGATGACATAGACAAGAATGCACCAACAAATACCCCTTCAGAAGCTTCACCACCAGATAACTAAATTAAATGTGCAGTTACACATGTCAGAAAAACATGGATTAAGACTGAAAAAATGAAATGCATGTAGTTATGTTTACTACTTTCCAAGACTTCTTTATGCTCCCCTTTGTCCAGAAGATGGTGAAAAAAAGAGCAAATGACATGTAATGCGGTTGGAATTTAGAGGAGATCCCACAAAGAAAAATCCTTGGTGACAATATTAGACATACAAAGGCTGTTATCCCACACAAGCACATAAACAGCAATATTTGGATCAAGCCTCCGCAAACTGCAACTGCTCGAACAACACGAATCTGCAGTTTTAAATTAACGATCAATCAATGGTTATGAAACTGATTGACAAATCACATATTTGGCATGTGATATGAACCCACCTTGTTCGTAGAGAACTCCAATCCTAAAGCAAAAAGAAGAAAAATAACACCAAACTGAGCTACCGTTTCAACCTGCATGAAATCATGTCAGATTATATTTTAAATCTAAGTATAAACCTCAGTTTAAAACTACATTATGATATTATAGAAGTACAACTCTAAAAAACATTGCTAACCTATACTCCCAGATTTGACATCACTTCACTGGCAGAAGAATAACTATGATTGGCCCATAATAAGATACAAATTACATCTAACAAAGGTAACTATACAACATCCACCAAAGGGCTTGAATAAGACTATTAGACTTGCTTAAGTGGCAGGCCGGTAGGCCACCCCAGTCATTACACTTGATAGTTTCCCCTTTTACAGTAAAGCCACATTTATATTAACTAAAGATAAAATGTACATTTTCTAGACATCGAGGACTATAATGAGTACAACATGTTGCGCTTAGTGCCTCCATATTCCCACACATTACGTTGGTAATCAAACACTCAACTAAACATCATCCAACTATATTACAGTTACATGAACTCTGTATATCCTTTCAGCTCTACCATTTTCAGATAAATCATAAAAACTTAGCTATTACTCTGCTATTCTCAACTGAACCCAGGTTATTTTTCTGACCCTCTATTGTTGCCTCAATTCAAAAACTGTAATGTTTCCTAACCGGTCAGCTTAAAGATCTGCAGTGCACATGCTAAAACCATCTTAGCCTCTTATTTTATCAATAGGCATTTTACCTATATCATCTAGTAAATTCGGTCATTTATAACTAAACCTTCCTAATTTTACTATGTATCCATCTTATTATTGTTACTATCGTTTTAGTAATAAATTCATTCTTTACAGCCAAGCATTCTATGCCACAAAATACATCAGCAATTTGAATGCAGTAGATTATACTTAGAGAGAATTTTCATCGTGTATATAATCTTGAGTGCATGGACTTTTGTAGAGAATTTTTAATGTATTTATAATCTTGAGTGTAAGAGTAATCCAGACTGCAGTTACGCATGTTACACTATATTGACAGAATGAATAGACTAGTGGGGTACTGGAGTAGTCACATGATTCCCAAACTCAATGAACAGATTCAAAAGGTAAACAAATATAGCCATGTCCTTGCTCAAAATCATTACTAGTGGCAACAAGTATGACATTCCAATAGTTGCATTGCAACATACATTGTATTCCTATACATACTCAGGGCAGTGTTCTAATAGCTTTTTTTTTTTTTGGGGCGGGGGGGGGGGGGGGGGGGGGGTGTTTTGGAAAGTGTTTGAAGTTTCCAAATTAAATATATCAAACAGATGATTAGAAACATGAACAAAATAAGACACTTGATGGGCATGACAATGATAAAAGCCCCATACTTGCACCATTTCGCTAACAAAACCAAAGCCCCCAGGTCCAATAACAGATCCTGCCAGCAAATATCCAGTAATGACCTGAAAATTGGGAAAACAAATATTAATCAAAATACTTTGTATATAATTAGAAATCAATAATGAATCCATCTATACAGCAACCACCTCACCCCAAATATATGTGTTTGTGTGCAGTATGCATATGAGTGTAAAGAAAGAAAGAAAGAGAGAAAAGAAGGGAAAAAATTAAAAAAATAAAAAACCATCCCATGGAATGCAGTTCATTAGAGAGACAACAAAATAAAGTAGAAGGCCTACTGGTTGTCCAGCACAAGCAAATGCGATGCCACCACAAGTTGCAGAGACAATGACAACTACAAGATCTGATATCAACCTGCCAATATTTTCTTTAACATCTTAGATAATCCAAAGAGTCACTCATAGGCAGCATAGAGAGAGAGAGAGAGAGAGACAGAGAGACAGAGAAGGGGGGAGACCTTAAATCTAATTGCAGCACAGGATACTTTGACTTGGGATTTGAGATAATAAAGACATTATCCTGAACAAATTTACAATAACTGGATTAGTATTACAACTCTGGAAAATTAAATTTAAAACACATTATCTGACATCCAGCTGCAGTACAGCACATATATAAATTATAATACATATTATCTAATCACATGTAAAAGGCACACCTTTCGATCTATCAACGTTGGCATATCTTCTCCTGGATTCTCACTTTCCAAATTGAAAACATCATGTAGTTGAAATGACCTGTTATCACGTAGACTTAAATTTGGGATAAAAATTAATAGGGTACAACAGAAGGTAAAACCTAAGAAATCAGTTTATTCCCTTCACAGGGTATAAACACATACTTGTCCTCCTTAGTGTCATTTTTCTTGGGCTTAACTCTTGCAACAGTTTCCAGAACTGCCTGATGCAATTGAACTTGTTAAGAAAATATATCCAGAACACAATAGTAAGCAATTTGCAAAAGGAATAAGAAGGCTGCATAAAATGCATAATTTTACTACAGGAAGGAAACATTTATATAACCCCCAGTATCTAAACTAGGACATGCTATTCTGGTAATGTTTATTGTATAACCTTGTCAAATATGCAATTCAGGAAACAGGTGCAAACAACAACGATACAAAGATAATGCCAGCAAAGTAAATTGACCTTATGAAAGACCAACAATCACATCCAAAACTCACTTACTCAATCTTGGCAGCAGAAAGGGCAACAATTCCATACACAATTGTCTCATTTGGTAAAACCTAATATTGTAAATAGAAGCAGGTCTGAGGCTGCTTAGGGACCATTATGACCAAAGGGGTTGGAGAGAACAAGGCAGCAAGAGACATGATAACTTATACTAGGAAACAATTAAGACATCTATATAGCTGAAAGAAAAAAAGAAGAAGAAGAGGAGAAAAGAAAAGGAATTGGAAATTTTTATTTGCATGAGGAGGATGATTTTTCAACTCCCTTTAAAGTTCATCAGAAGTAGTGGCAGGTTACTGTCTCTCTTTTTTTTCTCTTTTAGAAATGGCACATTGCTCAAGCCATTTTAAAGTTAGCCTGTGTTCATATATGCTGCTGAAACATACTTCTAAATGTGGAAGTACTATTATCTATTCACCATTTAATGCAATATATCCATCCAAATGCATTTCCATTTATTTTTATAATATTGAAACTAACCATTTTAAGCAAATTAGAAATTGCGTATCCTGTGTCGTCTAATCCATTGATGAGCTATGGTCACTTAATAAATGCAGCGAAAAAGCTTCAATCGTCACGGATTCTAATTCATTACATTTAGCAATTTTTCCCCATAAGAAAAAAAAACTTAGGAAGCGAGGAAGATAAACCTATCAGCCAAAGACAGTCTTCTAAGAGAGAGAGAGAGAGAGAGAGAGAGAATCATTTTAAATGATGTTCATGACATTATTTTATTATATCTCCACCACCACAAGGTATGGTACAAAGCAATATAACGAGAAGATATTAATAAGATGCTAAAATTCAAGCATAATCTTTAAGTCATTTTTTTAATATAATTCATACCAGAACAACAGCAATTAGTTCAACATTCTTGCATTTCCAATTGAAAGGGGATCCGAGTTTAACTGAGGGATACAGCAGCACATAAAGGCATTTTGGATGATGGAGAACCCCCATCTCCTATCCTATCCCAACGTAGATGTAAGATTAGAGAGAGGATATAACAAAATCTTTTTATGGTTTAAGTGGTTAGCCAGTGTGCCTATTGAAGAGTTGTGAAGGGTGCCCCAGCACTACCTCATGGCCTAGGGTCATTGGCACAATCTAACCTGGTTGCTCACATATGAAATGATAGAGAGTCCAATAGCACGCCACAAATAACATGACTAACGACTACATGGAGACCTTCTAGACTTGTCAGCAAGTTGTTTAGGCTGGAAGGGCTATAAGGCCCAACTACAAGGGGCAAGAGCAGCTTTCTTTTCTACACATATACACTACCAGACACGAGCAGGCATCAAGGCAAAAATATAGAAATGGAAAGAACACAGAATACAAAAATCCTAACATGGTGACAATGTGTCACCATTTAACAGAAGCCATAGGTCTCTAGTTGGGTTGGGTTAATGGCCACAACAACCATTACATCACAACCAAAACTGTTATAAGCCAACATATCAGGCCTAAATTTCAATGATGTCATGGCTTGTGTGGCAGAAATAATGGTTATATTGGCTAGTATAACATTCCTGTTTCACCCTTATCATGCCAATATGCTTTCAACCCATTTGAGGAGCCTGAAGAGTTATCTCTTTTTCCCATAAAGTTCCTTTTTCCAGATTCAGTATCAAAAATATTATCCTTACACCTAGAGATGCAGGTGTTTTAATGGTTATTTGCAGATATAATCATATACGTTAAATCTGCAATTCATAAGTGCTCTTCCCATCAAAGGTGAGCTTTCTTCGCTTCTCAGATTTCTTAGTTAATATCTCTAAAATTCTTTTTGATATACATCAGATGTTAATGGCTTACTTCTCAATATTATTATATGAACTTGATATCTGTATTAATATCCTTTTTTGCTATCCCCCTATATATTTTCATTTACTTTAAGTCTTATTAAGATACATTGCACTTGACATGTAAGCAATGTAGGATTTTAATTCACATACAAAATATAATAGTTGGTTATCAAAGTTGCACATTATGCATTAGCAATCAAGTCACAAGGTTTTCCCTATCAGAGTGACATTATGCCATCAAGGCTAGTCTCATTAAACATCCAACAACATCATAACATGCTTCCACCTGTTAATGCATGTGCTATACAGCTTGAAACATTTTTAATTATTTTAATGCAGATGCTTTCTTAAAATTGCAATGTTAATGCAGATACTACATAGATTGAATTCAATGTAAACCTGATTACCTGATTCAGATTACATTGAAAGTGGAACAAAACCAATGAAAAACCTACCCCAATTGGGGATGGCAACTAGGTAGACATGGTAAGAGACTGAGTGTTCCATTCTACTGGTAGGGACAGTGTCAAAAATAAGAGGTCCCATCAAGGAAAGGTTACTCGAGGATTTTCTTCCCTTTTATTTTGATCAATCGTGTATATACACATGTCGATGTTTGGGGTTGAATGCAAATTTAAATAATACAGTAATAAGATAACTCAAACTTAGGGTTTAAACATTCAATTCTAATCCAGATTTTTAATTAGACTAAAAATAATATTAACATACACAACAAAGCCAAACACAAATCATGACTTCCAGTAAAATATATGATTTATTTAAAATTATGTTGCAGTCTTGTATATTAATACAATATAGTGCATGAGGTATAAATTTTTTTACTAGATTATTATGTTGTACATAAATTACACATTTTTAATATGTGATTCTTCAATGTTGAAGTAAGCTGTGTCATGAACATGTTCCTAGTCCCCACCCCATCTGTGGTCAATGTTAGAGTCGCAATCAGGGCAAGATGGCCACTTCAAGGCAAGGCAAAATTGAATTCCTCAACCCACAGAATATGTGATGCCAATGTATCACCAAGATTTTCACAAGTAATATAGAAGAAAAGCCCTAACCAAGACAACCATTGCCACATTCCCACACAATAGTAGCATTTAAAGATTTTGAAAACAAATAAATAAATAATTATGGCATGGAATATGGATATCGTGAGGATATTACAAGAGACATAATCCATAAATATATTATTAATTAATCATATTCACAACTAAAATATCCACGAAACTAAGACACCATGCATCTATAACATAAACACTATTCAACTTGAGTTAGAACCAATTATTAATTCAACAACTATTTGATCCTTTCTTTGCCTAATCAAATATTTTTGCTTTAACACAAATACTTGCATAAATTTAACATGAATTAAACTTCAATCGCATAGAGATTTCAGTCACTACCTTTGGACACACACTTACCGAGCATGCATGTCCAAGCAATAATATGAATGATAATTAGACACTTCACATGACATGTCTAACGTGTCTGATAATCCATGCTGGGGACAAGATAGAATATCTGCAACTCCTAGCATCCAAGGGATACCTTACCCTTTCTTCTCTTCCTAACTCCCCCTTCAAATAGTTATCTTATCTCATCTTTCCAACTGACTAAAATAGGTAAGCAAACAGTATTTGCCTCAAAAAGCTCCTTTGCATATCACAAATGGATAGCAAAGCTGCCTTTCAAAGAGAATTTCTGTTTTCCACATGGTGATCTATTAAGCTATCATCATATTATCGTTTTTCTCTTTTTTATTTCTTGAGAAAATTCTCTTCATTTCTTATGCAGCATCTCTCCATCCTTTCCATGCTTTTTCCCTTCTGCCTCTTTTTCCCGCTGTTTATTTCTATACATGCATTTATTTCATGCATCCATATATATTCACTTCACCCAGGGAGTCCTCTTAGTGCTGCATAGTGTGCCCATGTACATCCACACACAAAGGTATTGCAAAAGCATTAAGTGTGTAGAATGTGCATGTAAAAATCCGTGACCTTTTGGCAATGTTCCTCAATTTTTCTCTTTTTCTTCCTTTTTATTTTTGGAATTTTCACAATTTCCTTTGATGGCACTTTGTTACATCATCCCTCTATCTGTCCTTTTTGGAATTTTTACAATTTCCTTTGATGGCACTTTGTTACATCATCCCTCTACCTGTCCTCTCATCTTGATATCATCAACGATTGATCTTCCTACATTTAACTATATGAGAATATCATTTATAAAAACAATGGCATTGGGAGATGTGTGTATGTGTTTACCACACAGTTTATTTAAGTCATAAAAGTTTGAATGATATCCATCAAAGAGTGGTATTCACCTACAAGAGGGAGAAGAAGATTTTGCAACGCAAAAAAAGGTAGCCATCAACTCGGTCAAATGTTCACAAAGCAAGACCAATTTGACAACTATACAGGTAGTGTTCTTTTTTTTGGTGGGAAATGTTAATAAACTACCTCAGATGGATTTATTTTTTGGGGAAAAATGCAACGATATAATATGATGAAACAGATAGTTTACCTCTTTCATAATGCACTTCTAAGAAGAATTACATAATAAAATGCATGGCGGTGGCATGGCTGGATGCTATTGATTGAAAGTTTTATAACAATTGATTCTACAACCATATGCAAAGCTTGATTAATAAATTTGGTTTTAATTGATTGCATCCCTTCATAATTCATGCATAACTTGCACGCTAAGTTCTATCTCCACTTTCAATATCCTCCATTAATTCTTTCTTCATCCTAATATTTTGTTATAAATGTTGTTTTTATATTAGTTAAGTAATGGTTGAGCCCCTGCAATGCATAGGCTTTGAAATCAATATATAAAATTATATTTAAATATCTTATGGTTGAGTTCACATCAACATTTTTCTTTTTACTTCATTTCTATATCCAAACCCCAGGCTATATCAAGAAAGAGAAGAAAAAATTATAAAGCACCTCCATAACTTTAGATAAAAAAATAATAAAAAAATAAAAAATAAAAAACTTCAATTTTGTACAGCTAGGCCATTAATTAGTTATCAACAAATACATTCATGCACCTACATGTGAATAACATGATAACAAAAATAATAATAATAATAATAATAACAACATTTTATCTAACCATTTAAACTGATAAATATATATATGATAATTAAAAAGATCCAGCTTTGCAAAGGCTCATCCACTAGCTATTTGAGTGTATCCAGACTAAGTAACTACAAAGAAAAATCATAAACATAGATGAAATTCTTCATATAGTTTGGGCAAGCTGAATATATTTCTCACTACTTGTTCCATGCAGCGAGATCCTTCTTTCCAATATTTCAGTTTCCTATTATTTATTCCACGTTGAACTTTCATCAACTAAAATCTCAAAGCTTAGTAAAAACACTAAGTAACAAAACCAGGATTCCAAGCCAGCCAGCTGATCAAGTAACTTTAACAATTCAATCAAAACTAGCCGATCTGTCAAGAATTAGCTACTTGGAGAGGAAACCCCTAGGGTTAGATGACCTCCTGGTCCGTCATTGGTAATTCAGTTATGCATCCTACAGCATAATCCACAAGTTGACTATAGAGTTGTGAACAAATAGATCAAATGTCATAACCCAAAGGAATGAATTGTCATACATTCTAAACTCACATTTTCAAGTTACAGACTAACAGGTCACAATACAGTGTTCAAAGTTATTATTGACAAGAAAGGCACAGCCAACCTGCTGTTCAGTCACGCTGTTGTTAAAGCTCCCAGGATCTGTACCTGCAAAACATAGAGTAGGGAAACTGTTGTTTTTCTTTTACTTGAATAAGAATACTATAAAAGAATTATAGTTTGTCCAACTACTCCAATGTTTACCAGTGAATTCCGTACATTACTAGATATTGATATCTTCTAAAAACCAATAAATCATCATTAGGGTATTTAGCAGTTCATTAACAATTTAACATCAACTATCTGACTGAAGAGGAAGAGAAAATTTATGTTAAGCTTAAGCAAATTAATGTTTTAATTACAGACTGTTTTGTTAGACACAAAAAGGAGAAATTTTGTCAGAATATTTTCTGTTCACTATATGGTTAAATAATAACAGAATTAAATAAAAGATTAAAAGACAGAACACAAATCATGTTCGCAGCACCGCCCCAACCCCACCGTATAAAAATTAAAAAGTGACAAAATAAAAATGCAAGGGAGCTGATTTCAAACAGATAGGATTGACAATAAAATCTCCCTCAGGATAAAATTGCATAAAGCAGGGTTTCAGCAAGAACCACTAATGCCATCTTTTTCTTTTCTATCCATGTCTCCCCTGTAACCAATCTAAGCCTTCCCCTTGATCTATATCTTCTCCTTTTTGGTTTACAAAAATAAAACAATGGAGCAATGGAACAAGATGACAGAAGACTGTAGCTTTTGGAAGTTAAACACTATCCCCCCGTTGGTACACATTAATTATTCTTATCTTTTATCCATATTTTGTCACAAAATTATCATTAGTTGTTTAACTTAATGCAGTGCAAACTAATATTTTTTTTTCATTTAAGAATTCTTGGTACCATGAAGCTTTTCAAAAGCCAATCAGTTGATATGTATCATATTATTTCTCACGCAGACACACCATGCACACGGCATTCCGTTGATAAGTTAATCATGTAATTCTAACGTAATCACTATACAAACACACCCAGTCAAGTCAAAAAGAGAAAAAGAAAATACCAAGGCTGGGTTGTAAGCTTCTTGTTGTAATAAGGTTATGATACAAGCGTACATATATAAGTGAGAAGACATAGGTAGAAATATTGTACTCAAAAAAAAAAAATTCCCCTAAAATTGTGAAAGGGAACAATTAAACTTGGAAGAAAAACAATTCAGGCGCTTGAATTAAGGGAATTATGTTATAGAAAACATCAGACGCCTAGTGTCATCTATTTAGCTGAGGTCCTAACAAGAAATGCCAAACCCCTACTCATAAACCTCACCAAACAAGAACCAAAGGACGAACAAAGAAAACTCAGTTAAACAAAACCTTGAGACTAGTCGTCGGTCTCGTTAGTTTGAAAATAAATCATATGTTTGAATTCAAGGAAATTATATTTATTGCAAACGTCCCTATGCATAGTGGCATCTCTTCAGCTCAAGGACGAAAAAGAAAATTCCAAAAGTCAAATGCAAAACCGCCATGCATAAACCGCGCCAAAACACCAACAAAAAGAGTTCAAGTTAAACAAAACCTTGAGACTGTTCTTCGGTCTCGTTGAACTCCTTTTCCAGAGCCCGATCAATCATTTCGGCGAAGCTTCCCTCCTTAGATCTCAGCATCGATACGTTCACTTCTGCAACGGTGGCATTGGAGGCGTCCTCCAGCAGGAGGTGGCTCAAGTTAGAGTCATGCGGATGAAGAGTGTACAAGGGGCGGGGCAGACAGCACAGCAGATCAAAGAGAAGCCAGAGGAGAGCTGTACGCATTGCAGATGTAGAGAGAGAAAATGGAGTGCATTAGAGAAAGAAAGAGAGTATCGGCCTCGCCGTCTCAGGAGGTCTTCGATTTTCTGTTTCTCTCTCTGTAATCTGCGTGATTACGCCAGCGGGGGGAAATGAATTTGGAGTAGTTAGAGGAGCAGAAGAAGCTGGGGGACGGGGGTAGAGTAAATGTCCAAAAAAGGCCCCTGCTGATCGGCGCTTCCTTGTGTCACTGGTGCTGTGACACGGTGTTTCGCACGTGCTAGATCTTGCCGAATAAGTATTCATCAAATTAAATCGGTTTAAATCGATAAAATCATTATTTAATTTGATTTTAATTTAATTTAATTTAAAAAAAAATTTATACAATTTAATTTAATATTTAACATATAAATAAATTGTATAAATTAAACTAAATCGAATACTTTATATATATAATATATTTTTAATTTATCTATGTATATATAATATATTTTTATTATTTAAATGTATATATTCTAAGAGAATTGATCAATTGATATCGATACAAGTGTAAAAAATTTACACCAAATCTTACACTGTTGATTTGATAAAAATTAACGAATGAAATTAATTACAGTTATCTTCCAATAACTAATTTGCAATTATCTTTCTTTAATTCTAATAAATTCCAATAACTAATTTGTAATTTGGAAGTTATTAGAATTAAAGAAAGATAACTGCAAATTAATTATTGAAAGTTATTGAAAGATAACTGTAATTAATCTTATTAGTTGATTTTAACCAAATCAATGGTGTAAGATTTGTATAAATTTTTTACACTTACACTGATGTCAATTGATCATTTCTCATATTCTAATAATTAATTATTTTTCTTTTTTAAAGTGTAATTTCTACTAACATTAGTAAAATTCTGTAAATTAGTATAAATATATTTATTATATAAAATATAATTACTATAATTAAATGATAAATAATAAATTTGTAAACTTAAAGATGTTAAAAAAAAAAGGATAATCAATTTTCAAGAAATCTTTATCAAATTTTTTATAAAAATAGTAAATTTAATCAATTTTATTTTACAAATCACAAATTATTGTGACACTAAAAAAGATGTGTGTGTGTGTGTGTGACACCCTTAAACGAATCTCATATCGACAAAATACGGGAGATATATTAAATTTATAAGAGACTAAAAACTACTATTAAACGATTTAGGTTTAAACATTTTGAACTAGTAGTTTAGATTCAACAAGTTGTAAGAGTCAATAGTACTCGGATCGTTATGATTATAATTTGAAATTGAATTAAATTGTAAATCATGATAATTCAGTTTTATTTATAAATATTATAAATTATAAAATATGATTTAATTTAATTTTAAGGATCAAATTGAAATATAAACATCCTATTATGAAATATAGGTCAAGTAACTGCTGAAACTTAAAGCGTCATCGTTATGTACCATTAAATTAAGCAAGTGTCCGCTGAATGATAATATTAATCGGAAATAAGCAATAAAATATTGAATTTACTTCTAATATAATAAATATCTAAATTGAATAATGAAAACTAAAAAATAAATTTATAAATATTAAAATTATTAAGTTATTACTTAAAGGAATAATAAAAGTGCAAGTATTAGACTAAAAAAATCCAAAATAATTGACTAAATTCTTTCAAAATCTTTAAAAGAAAAGCACATAATAATATATCAAAAATTTTAAAGAGTTAACTTCTCTTATTAAAAAAAAAAGGTTTGGTTTCATCCCAAAAAAAAAGAAAAAATTATAAGATTTAAAATACGTGAAAGATTGGTTTTTCATGAAACTCATGTTCTACAATTTTGAGAACAATTCAGGGACTCACTTGTCATATATTTTTTTTTTAGTTTTTCTTTGTCGTAATTGATTATTGAAAGATAAATATTTTAAAATAAAAATTCTCATTTCTAAAAATTAAATGATGAAATCTAGATATTCAGATTTTAAAATTGAGTGTATAATTACTTTATTATTTTTTATTTTTTAATTAAAGACAAGATTATCTTAAATATATTAAAAGTCCGAAATATTTTGGAGACTGGTTTATTCGCTTCTTCTTGGGTTGAAAAAAAACAGAGATTAATAGTACACAACAAAAAAATGATCCGTCTACAGAGATCGACGAATTTTACAACAGGGAGAAACACGCAAGGGCCTACTTTGTTTTCTCTCTCGCCGCTCTTCCACTCCCAAGCTCTGTAAATCTTTTACTAATTAGTAACCATCTCTCTCTCTCTCTCTCTCTCTAAGTGAACAGATACCCGATTTATCCTTTTATCCTCATCTACACGACAGCGATGTGAGATAGGAGAGTGAAATGTAAAGCAATCAGCCATTTACTTCCTTGCAAAGGAAAGAAAGGAAGCAAAAGTGGTTGCTTAAACATTGCCAAACACGAGCCTCATACAAAAAGTAAAACTTAAAAATTAAGTTACTAAAATTTTGGAGTGTGTTCTTAAAAGAGAGAGGGAGACAGAGAGATAAATGTTGGACTTGGAGACCCATCAGTTGATGGGTCCAAACAAAATTATTAAAAAAATGCAGCACATATTTTAAAACAATCAAAATTTTGGGGTCTAAAATTTAATTTCGCAATTGAATAAGTGATCTACCTACAACGTTTTGAGTTAATGTCTAAGAATTGTGATAAACTACTTTTTAATGTTCTACTCAACTTTTTCTTCTAAGCAAAAGACACACTGATCTCTCTATCACCAACCGGCTTGCTTGTGGACATGACTTTTACTTTCACATGTCCAAGGACTCTGGATCCAAACACAAAACAATCCCACAATTAATAGCTGCATTGAGGTCAGCAAATAGAATTATTTAGTAATTATTATATTATAATAAATTATTATCATATAACCATAATTTTTTATTCTATTGAAAATTTTATTCTCTATTATATGTATATATATCATTTATATGTGTTTTCTAATATTCCAAATCATCAAGGTGTTTTGCATGTTTGGATTTGCTTGAAGAAACTTTTTTTTTTTTTTTGGGTGTCCGGAAACGTAAAATATATTTGATAGGTTGTTTTTTAAAACTTTGTGGGAGAGAATTTTAGAAAATAAGCCTATTTTTTAAGGAAATAATGGAAGGTTTTTAGTTTTCAGAAGAATTTTTAGAAAATTAATACTGATTTAAAAAATGATGCTAGTTTTTAAAGAGAATTTTCAAAAAAAAAACCTTCTTTTAGAAGATAGCAAAAAATTAAAATAATTTTGCTAAAAATAAAAATGATATAAAAACAATAGAGTTTTTTAGTGTATTTATATACTCACGTGATCCATGCGTGCCCTCGGCGAGTGAAAGTAATGAATGGCCGGCTGCCGAGCAAGGCCAAGTCTTCTTTGTCCAATGGGCGGCGGTTACGTCCTCCGAGCCATGGCTGCCTCCGTTTCAAATACGGGTTGTGTTTGACATTGGCATCAAGCCCAGTGTCGTGTTCAAAGACAGCAGCGGAGCCAGGCCAAGTCTTCTTCCGTGTTCAATAAGAGGCGGTTACTTTCTCCAACCATGACTAACTTTGTACTGAGTCTGACTTAGTTCTGACTCACAAGGCTTTTTTTGTCCGGGTTAATGCTCCAAAATAAACGTTGAAAACTAATAATAGTTAAAAAATATTGAAGGATAAAATTATGTATATTTATAAATTTAGTTAAAAAATAGTAACATTTAATAAAATAATTATAATAATTATTTATTATATTAAAATATATAATTTAATTTTTTAAATATATATATATACTTATAAAATAAATTTTCTTAGATTATAAATATAAATTTAAAGCTATTAAAATTAAAAATAGATAAATTATTAATAATTTATATAAGTTTATTAATAATTATTAAAATTTAATTATTGACATTATATTGATATTCTTCTTTACAATATAATTTTACTTTCAATTTAAAATTATAATTTTACTGATTCTTAAATTTTAATTTAATTTTTGATTTAATTAAAAAATAACTATATAATAATATTATTGATTTAGATAAAAATAAAATAGAATTATAATAAAAATATTATAATAATTTGTCTTCGATTTTCTGTCTCTCTCTGTAATCTGCGTGATTACGCCAGCGGAGGGAAAAGAATTTGGAGTCGTTAGAGGGGCAAAAGAAGCTGGGGGACGGGGTAGAGTAAATGTACAAAAAGGCCCCTGCTGATCGGTGCTTCCTTGTCTCACTGGCGCTGTGACACGTGTTTCGCACGTGCTAGATCTTGCCG